GCTGCTTGAGCCACAGGCACTGAGCCACACCCGGCTATTTTTTTTTGTTGTTACAGTTTGGCTGGGGCTGGGTTTGAACCCACCACCCTCCGTATGAGGAGCTGGTGCCCTACCCACTAAGCCACAGGCACCACCCATTATTTAGTTTCTAATCCGTGAGGCCTGGTTCTCACTCCTAGGCCCACATCTGGGAGAAGGGAACTGTAGAAGTCTGACTTCATTAGGAGAAACCCAGTTCCCTATGCCTCTCCATCCTCAGATCTGTCTTACTGACAGTCCTACTCCAGAAATGGAACTGGGAGGCCAAATGTAAAGTCCTAATGTCCAAACCTAAAATTGGGCAGAACCCCCGATCCTCTCTCTATTGTAGATGTAGACCCCGAAATCTCTGCCATAAATTGTCAACTGGCCACAGGAGATGGAAGCATTCGGCCAGTTAGGTTATTGCTAGAAAAAAGGATTCAGTGCTCTGGGCAAGGGTGTGTGCTCCTGTCCTGGAAGCCTCCCCTCCCCTTCCCTGCTGCCCTGGTGGAGACACTTTCTCTTTACCTGCTTCGTCCCTCCAGGTATTTGAGTTTGCTACCCTTGAACTATATAAGACTTCTGGGAACTGATCACCAAGTAAATACAGAACTAGTTTATTTTGCCTTCAGGAAGCACTTAGGAAGCCTAGGCAGATTATCGTTGGCTAAGGAATTGGAGGTGATAGCCAAGATTTGACAAAGCTGCCACTAGGCTGGGCCCTATTTGGGCTGTGGTCCATGGGCTCCTCGCTGTGGACTCAGAGAGATACAAGGTTGCAGATGTGGAAAGGCACCAGATACCCTACGACGCTACTCTTGGTTTGGGAGCATTGCTCTGGGCTCCTCCAAACTTTGGGAACTGCAGGATTTTGTTGCTGACCCCAGTTAAGAGGAGTGCCCCTGAAGAGGCTCTGGTGCTAGCCTAGACTTGGGACTTGTCCCAGTGTCTTTCAGGATAGGGACACAGCCCTACTAGGTCTTGAACAAGTGGCTTACCCAAAACTGCCATGTGCCACGTTGCATGCCCTCAGGAAGGGCTCCTGATCCCCAAATTAAAGAGCAAAATGACTAAGACTTAAAAAGAGGGTGGTGCCTGTGGCTCAAAGGAGTAGGGTGCCAGCTCCATACACCGGAGGTGGTGGGTTCAAACCCAACCTGGGCCAAAAAAACCCACCAAAAAAAAAAAAAAGAAAGAAAGAAAAAAAGAAAAGAAAGAGAATAAGAAAGGCTGGGCACCCTGTGCCCTAAATTTATTTATTTATTTATTTTTTGAGACAGAGTCTCAGTATGTCGCCCTCAGAGGAGTGCTGTGGTGTCACAGCTCATAGCAACTTTAGACTTGGGCTCAAGTGATTCTCTTGCCTCAGCCTCCCAAGTCCCTCAGCTGGGACTATAGGCACTCGCCACAATGCCTGGCTATTTTTTTGTTGTTGTCATTTTTGTTTTGGGGTTTGTTTTTTTTTTTGAGACAGAGTCTCACTGTGGTGCCCTCAGTAGAGTGCTGTGGCATCACAACTCACAGCAACCTCAAACTCTTGGGCTTAAGTGATTCTCTTGCCTCAGCCTCCAAGTAGCTGGGACTATAGGTGCCCACCACAACACCCGGCTATTTTTTTTTACAGAGCCTCAAGCTGTCGCCCTGGGTAGAGTGCCATGGCATCACAGCTCACAGCAACCTCCAACTCTTGGGCTTAAGTGATTCTCTTGCCTC